GTTTATTTCCTTATTTAACTGAAGCATTCTCTTTCACCACGTACACTTACAAAATTATTTCATTTAGCAGAAATTCAACATTTATTAAATAACCAAAAAGTAAGTAGCTGTACTTACCTATAGTACCGAGATTGTAGATATGTTGAACAAACAGTCTTTGATACGTGACTGGCCGACCCAAAGTCTATTACTTTAACCCTGTACGGCTGCCGAACAGGATCCACCAACATAATATTCTCTGGTTTGAGGTCAGCATGAATTAAACCAAGACTTTTCAATTTTTTCAGTGCAGTGGCCACTTGTTGAAGAATGGGCCGAATGACTTTTAGTGGCAGGGGACTGAATTTATTTTGTTTCAGAAAGTCATACAAGTTTTGTTCCAGCATCTCAAACACTAAGCAAGTATGGTTACGGTGCTGAAAACATTCATAAGCTCGTACAAAGTTATATTCATCAGCATTTTCCGTACTGAGCCTTGCTAATATGCTCACTTCTATTTGACCTTGACGTGCATAAGAAGGGTGATTCTTCAAAATTTTGATTGCTACAATTTCATTTGTCCCTCTTTTCCAGCATTTAACTACTTGGCCAAAAGTGCCTCGACCAAGAAAATCAAGGACTTCGTAAGTATTTTTCATGGAGCATAAGACTTCATGCTGTACTAACTGATAGTCACCTTCTCCAGTGGTACAATTCTGTTTTGATCCTGTGGTAGTTGTCACAACCGTCACTGGATTGCCCATGTTGGTTTGCAACATTGCAGGAAGTATGGACAATTCATCGACAATCTGCATTGCGCTGCTATGATTATCCAACTCCTCACTCTTGCGCTTCAATCCACATCGCTGAGGGCCTTCTAGGAAGTTAAACCTGTTTCGCCACGCCCCAATCTGAGGTGCCTCCACGTGAGCTTGCTGCTCCTGAGCAGCTATGACCTTTGTAGCACCTGCAGTGTTTTTCAAAACAACAGCACTAGTCTGCAAAGAAAAGTTGTGTCCTCGAGGTCTATTAAATTGTATCTTTGTCTGAAAAGCACTACCCTTTGTGGGGGGATGAGAATTTCCAAAGTTTCTACCATTCACATAGGTCCGTGGATCATTTCTTTCCTGGAACACACAACTGCTTGGCTCTACTTTGAGTTTCTTCACACTACAAAAGGCACTTGACTGAGTTTGATAAACATATGGTGGGTAGACCAAGACTTGTGAGGCCATACCTGCAAAAGAAAAAGAGGATATGAAAATATAACCAAAAAAAAAAATCTT